TAAAGGGGCTTTCAAACATTGGTGCAATGTTGTTAAATTTTCAGGAGAATATATTGAAATAAAATATTTTCATGCCTTTTTAAAAAAAAAGCCAAGAATATGAAAGCAGTGGTTTAAACTATCTGTCACCTTTCATTAGTATCACACCGTAAATACATCAAGACTAAAATGAAATTGTCTCTGACTGCAAATTATTAGTACATCAAAAATATATTTGGCTGTGATTGGCAGACACTGGATGTCAACTGGGTTTAAGTAACTCTGAAGTGGGTAAGATTGAGAGGGTACTAGCAGAGCCTTTAATATGTAGAGTGTGCTGCTCTCCTGTAAGTGAAATAAATGAAGTGAAATAAAGCCCGATGGCACTTCAGTCACAGCAAGTCATAGCATTCAATCATTGGAGGCTCTCGTCTGTCATTGCCCACAAAAGCACCTGGCACTTGCAAAATAAATCCCAACAAAGATGGAATGAAGTCATTGCCTTGAACTCCATCTCTATTAGAATAATGAACAATCCAGGCTGGAGTGTGTTTCAGTAATGCAACACATCTCGGGGCAGAGATATTGATAGATAGTTTAAGTCACCTCATGGGTAACTGGATTTGTACCAAGCTCTGGCCTTGAGCCACACACTGATTTTTTTTTGTTCAGCCATGGGGCTAACATACACAGACCAGACTGAGGGCCATGGATGCCATGCTACTTGCAATGCCTAATGAGGTTAGAGAGGGTTTGTCCAATGGGTAAGCTGGTAAAGTCACTGGCTAAGAGTGAGACTGAACCAGACAAATACAATAGGACTCAGGCTTGGTTGGAGCATAGTCACTTTTCACTGATAATAGAGAACTCTCTCGCATGTGAGCCCAGATGCCTTGGTGCACTTAAAAGTATTGTTCCGGGTTAACTTTCTCTCGAACATTTTGCATCTTGCCTAAGGTCCTCTCTGAGACAATGGTTTTCAATAATAATAATCTTTCCATTTAATACAGCACCATATCACGCCATGTTGCAGACCCCTTTGAAACACAGTTTTCAATAATTATAATCTTTGCATTTGATTGGGGTCATCCTGCATTTCCAAACTTTTTTTTCACAAAGCTCTCAAGTTAGTTCCATATCAGCCATTTCCTGATCTATCCATATTATGATTCCGAATGAATGAAAGTAATGCAAGGATAAATCAACGACAAGTCACTACTAGAAATAAAAAGGAAAACTGTTAATGCTGGAAATCAACATAGCAATTAATGAAAATCTACAGGAGATGGATTTGCATTGTTTCACCCACAAAATATACAGTCAATTCACTTTACAGTATAATCTGTGAAGCACTTTGAGACGTCTCAACAACGTGATAAGGTGCTATATCAAATGTAAGGATTATTATTATCATAAAGAGAAAGCTAGGTCACTAATCCACCAGCTAAATTGGTTACTCACACACTTATGGGACATTACAATGCATAGGATTATTATATTTATAAAATACGTAAAATATATTTTACGTATATTATAATTGCTGTGTCTATGTTCTATATGAACTTCCACCTAATGGAGCTTCCATTTGATGTATGCATCAAATTTCCTCTAAAATACATTGCACAAATAGGCTACCACAAACATCTAAATAATCACTACACTATAGCAATTACGAGTAAAGCACAATGATTATTACTGTCTTGGGAGGTTATCTGTCATCAAATTGGTTCTATTGTTCCCTTTCAGATGCTGATTGACCTGCTGTGTAGTTCTAACATTTTTGTTTTTAATTTAAGAAACAATTTTGTTTGTTCTGAAAAATACTTTTGCAGTCAAATATTAAGGAAATGTAGCTTCCGATGCCACTGAATTTTGAGATCTCATGTTATTCCCTATTGAGATAATGGTTTGTAAAATGGAGAGACATAATGACATTGTGAAATATAATGATTCACCATTGTTCTGTTTCTGCAGCTAATGACTTGTTGTTCATGTTAGCAATAAAATAATTTATTTATAACTCTTATACTTCATTGGACTTTGTAAGGGTCTACATAGTCCAACTTAGCAACTGTTAAAATGTTTTTTGAAAGTGAAATCCAGTCAACAACATAAATGCATTATTAAAATTCCAGCATAACCCTAATCCACGGAGGCATATTTTAGCCATGCCTTCTACTGAATCATCTGGGGTGTCTTATCAGTAGCGCTCAAATATTCAACAGAAACAGCAGGGAGCTGGGACAACTTTAGAAACTGACAATAAAAGCACATGTGTTGAATATTATTTTCTCCTTCCCCCTTTCCTGATCTGTATAGATCTGTGCTGCACCACATAATGGTTACTTAATTATGAAATAAATAATACAAATACTGGCTGCCAAATGTATTAGTACATTGTGCTTTTACTACCTCTGAGATTTGTGTACGAATGCATGCCAAACTGATGAGTTGAATTTCTCTGTTCTCTGTCTGATTTACACAGGTCCTATGTGGAATGAATTCAGGATAATGGCACTGGGATGCAATTTTGTGACCCAAAGCTCCTTACATTTTGGTACAAATTTAACTTGATAATTTCACTCCTGTCACAATTAATCTCGACACTGCATCTTGGTTCCTGCAACTGATGTTCAGAGCTATCTTTATTCTGTAAATATCAATCTGTGTGGTAATATCAACTATTGAACTTGGTTATGCAGCACAAGACCAGGAAAATCTTGTACACAGAATTTTGTAATTGTCTATCCCTGAGGTAGGCAGCTCTACAATGGCAGAACAGTAATAAGCCACAGATTCCCAGACACAAGGGATAATGATACATCTGCAGAATCTGCTGTACTAAGAATTTTGAAAATTATAACAAATAGAGTAAGGGGATCTCCAAAGGCTGGGAAATGTACATATCATTTGCCAGCCTGTATTATCAGCAATGTTGTATCTCATTCACGCTATTAACCATCTCTGACCTCCCATTCCTCTCCAAGGTCCTGGAACGAGTCTTCACGTCCCAGCTCCGCTCCTTTCTTTCTCGCCATTCCCTCTTTGAACCCCTCCAATCTGGCTTCCGCGCTGCCCACAGCACGGAAACAGCCTTGGTCAAAGTCACTAATGACATTCTGAACATCTGTGATCAGGGCTCCCTCTGCCTCCTTGTCCTCCTCGACCTCTCTGCCACCTTCGACACTGTCGACCACTCCATCCTCATACACCGCCTCTCTTCTTTACTTAATCTTCGCGGACCTGCCCTTGCCTGGTTTGATTCCTATCTCTCTCACCGTCTCCACTTTGTTGCCTCTAACAGTTTCTCCTCCAGCCCCCGCACTGTCACGTCTGGCGTCCCCCAGGGCTCTGTCCTTGGCCCTCTCTTCTTTAATATCTATATGCTCCCCCTTGGTGACATCATCCGCAGACATGGAGTCTACTTCCATATGTATGCGGATGACACCCAACTCTTATCTTTTTGCCTCCACCCTCAATTCCAGGACCACTGCTGTCCTGACAGACTGCCTGTCGGACATCAAGTCCTGGATGAGGGCAAATTTCCTACAGTGGAATGTGAACAAGACTGAGGCCCTCCTGATTGACTTGCGCCAGCGCCTCAGCACCTCAGGCTCTGTCAACATCAACCCCCATGGTTACACACTACAACTCACCAAGTCAGTCAGGAACCTAGGTGTCTTGTTCAACCCTCAACTGTCTCTTCTTCTTCACATTCAAGCCATGACTCGCTCTGCCTTCCCTCACCTCTGTAACTTCGGTCGACTCCACCACTACCTCACTCCTCAGGCCGCTGAAACTCTTGTTCACGCCTTCATCACCTCCAGGCTCGACTATGCAAATGCCCTGCTTGTCAGCCTTCCCAACTCCTCCCTCCACAAGCTGCAGATAATCCAGAATTCTGCAGCCCGTGTCCTCTCCCGCACCAAACTCCGTGACCCCATCTCCCTCATTCTCGCCCGACTCCATTGGCTCCCTATCCTTCAGAGGATCCAGTTCAAGATCCTGGTCCTCACCTACAAAGCCCTCCATGGCCTCGCTCGCCCCTACCTCTGAGACCTCCTAACCCCCTACCAACCCGCCTGCTACCTCCGCTCAGCCGGCTCTGACCTGCTCCACGTCTTCCGACCCACCTGCCCCACCATTGGCGGGAGAGCCTTCAGCCACTCTAATAATAATACTAATAATAATAATCCTTGCATTTGATACAGCGCTTTTCACGTCGGGAGGACGTCCCAAAGCGCTTCACAGAACACACTGTAAAGTGAATTGACTGCATATTTGTGGGCGAACGTGGCAGCCAATTACGCACAGCAATGTCCCACAAACAGTCGTAGATTGAAAATGACCAAATTTTATTATTGGTTTTGGTTTTGGAGGGATTATTATTAGGCGTGTGGAGTAAAGAAACTTGCCCAAGGTTTCGCCCTGCCTGGAATTGAACTCAGGTCTCTCGCTTGCAAAACGAGTGCTCTAACCACTGAGCTACAGGACTCCTCTGCCCCCAACCTCTGGAATTCCATCCCCCAATCATTCCATCTCGCCCCCTCCTTTGCCTTCTTCGAGTCCCACTTCAAGTCCCTCCTCTTTGACCATTGGCCACCCCCCTTCCACTCCCCTCCCTTCTCCCCCCCGACCCTAGCTCGGGTCTGAAATGCTATACACTGTCCAGCGCCTTGGGACGTCCTCCCGCCTTGAAAGGTGCTAAATGTAATCTTGTTGTTGTTGTTAAACACAATTTAATGGCCAGCGACTAATACAATCTTTCTGCTCCAAATGTATATTTGCTCATTGCAAATAACGTGGCTATCAAGAATACAGAAACACATAAGGCACTGAAGAAATGGCGGACTGGGATGCTAGACAGGTTTGTGTGAGCCCAGTATAAATTATTCAAATGCTCAGTGACATGGATCAACAAGGAGTAGAACTCGCAGACTTGCAAGACATATTCTGGGAAGAGTCTTTCTCTGTAAACAATTTAGCGGGTACAGTGTAGACAAAAATATCAGAGAACTTACCAGTGCTGCTTTGGATGGTCCTAACTGTAGTGGTTGTTCGAGGTGGTGAAGCTGACCTAAGTGACAACCGTTCATCATCCTGTGAGCAGCCGCGTTCAATGGCCCTCACATAACTGTGGCTCCGCATGCGGAAACATCCCGGTATTGGCAGGTCCAGGGCTTCGACTGCCTGAGACTCGAGCTCACTGAAAACCGACTCACAAACAGATTCAAACTGTCCGTTAACTTCCACTTCACTCACCTACAACACACATAGGTAACAGTGGGTAAGAGCATGCTGGAGAAAGGGGTAGTGAAACCATCCTGTCTAGTAAATTAAAGCTGTAAAAAGATTATTTCATCTACCATGGATCTTGTCATATATCAGTATAAAGGTGCTGGACAAACAGTGAAAGATTCTGAGTTGGCTGAGGTTGTTAAAGGTGAATACTCCAGGACTCAGGATATGAGAGTGAAATGACCGTCTCTTTGTCTCACTCTTTGTTTTATCCTTCATGTCTTATTTAGCTAAACTTTGCCACTCAGATATTTTTGTCTTCCTAGTGATTTTTCAGTAAATACAGAACCACAGAATGTGATTACTGGAGCTAATCATGACCATTGATTGATCAACAAGGCTGAAAACTACCATCTGAAACAGCCTTTAATTATTGACGTTCAGATGCAAAAACACTGCTTCACCTGCAGCACAGTGATTTGGTCCAAAGTCTCTGAGCACCACCATTGTTGCCACACTGCCTCCAACCACCACCATTGTTGCCTTCAACCCCCCAATTGTAAACAACTCTGCTTTGTCTTGCAAATTACTTACCTGACTGATCGTGCTCATGGCTCTCATATAGCTCTCGTTGCGAGAACGGAATTTGGGTGAGGCAAGCAGCACTGCGGGGTCTAGACTTTCCAGACTTCGATTGATTGAGACTTCACTGACAGCCCGCAAGTAACTGTGGCTTCGTATTTGCAGTTTGGGAGAGTGTTCACTCGATATCCTGGCAGGGTGGAAGGTTGGGAAAAGATGAGACTTTACACTAAGCAAGTTATTTCTTAGCTTCGGTTGAATCCAGCCCCAGTTTGAATGCCAACCATTCACTCATTGGGACTTCCTCCCATAGTATGAGAGTGGGTGGGCAGCTGTAAGACTGATTGTATGCACAGTGGAGCCCTGTTATAATGAACATCTTTATCGTGGGAACTCGGTTATAACACAGTTTCAGTGTGGAACCCAATCACTATGCATGTGCACAGCTCACAGAATTGCTTACCACATGCCAGCCAGTTTATGCACTAAAATGGCCAACCTCATCACTGACTTCTGGGTTTCCATTGACAATCATCATCTTGTGATGTGCATGCATAGTGCGCAGTAAATGACTTCTGCAGACACCTGATGACCCAGACGTCGCCTATTTTAGTTTCCAGGTCGATAGGTCTGTCAGCATGTCAACATCACTTCCTGCTTTGCTCAAGCCGAAAGTGATATCAGCACTAAGTTCCGGTCATCAAGTATCGCTGACTGGAACATCAGCACAAAGTGGCTTTGGGGCACAAGCTCTGTTGAGCTGCCATTGAGAGATGAGGGAAGAGCACACGTAGAGAAACCAGAGTGATGCCGTGGCTGGCTTCTGTTATGGACTGTCATATTGAATATTGACAATATGTGGCTCAAACTAGGAATGAAATTAGAATAGGTTAGCTGCTCATATGAAATCACAAAGGACTGCAGGTGCTACAGATTATGCTGCCACATGACTTCATCAAGCGCTGCAGCTATGGCTCAGTATCACTAAGCACGCCTGTCTTTTATTGCTCAGGATTTTCTTTCAGATTGGTGATCATAATGGAAAACTTTCCAATAACAGGAACGTGCTCCAAGAGAAACCGAAACATAAAGACACAAACATCACCTACTTAATCAGCCTACTCTCAGTGCAACTGTGTTAAAAACAGCAACAATAATATGACAATGACCACAAGTGAAATTAAGAAAACAGCTCAAGAGTTTGAGACATCCTTCCAAAGTGAAAGGCGCAATATCAAATGCAAGGATTACTTCTACGAAATCAAGACAAGGAATGAGTTAAAAAAAAAAAAATTATGTGTTGGAAACTCTTTACTTCAAATATTTAAAGCTTCAGAAATTATGATTTAAAACAATCTCTGTGTTTGCCATTACTGTGAAAAACATCTCACGTTCAGCTTAAATATTCGCTTACAAACACTCAGTCACTAAACTTTACAGTAAAACCTGTGAAGCACTTCAGACATCTTTCTGACGTGAAAGGCACAATATTAAATCCAAGGATTATTATTAGGGACAAATTATTGTGAAAATCCAGTATAATATGATAATATAATGGATTGCAGGGGATATGTGATTATCAGCAGCGATGTCACATACCGCACATTTTCTCCCAGTGATCTGTTTCTAAATGTTTTCCATTTACGTTATTATATCTGTGAAGAGACTCGTAAGAATTCCAAGAGGTTTGGTGACAAAGTCAGTGATTGATGTTAACGTTGTACGAAAAATACCAAAAGAAGTCTAAACCTCGATCTCACTGACAGAAGAGTGATCTGATGAAACGTTAACTGTCTCACTTGTATTAAATAATTTATTGATTTTCCATTCACAGAAAATTTAAGTTTTTTGATAATTATTGATCAATTACAAGAGAGTAATACAACCAAGGGTGCTGAGATCATTGCCACAAACCAGGAGAGTGTTTATCATCTAAATCTTAGCTGAGATTGGATTTCTGCATCATGTCCAGTTTTAGCTGCAGGAAGCAAGTTGTTATTGTATCTCCGCAGTAAGTATTTTAGCGTGGATGTCTAAAAATGCTATGCACAAGGCTCGACTGTACAGTTGTGCAAATGGTTCTATAATAACATTACAATGGTTCTAGAGAGTTGTTTACTCATTCTGACTGAACTTAGCTCAGTTTGATTGTCTCATACTGTGCTAAATTTCGCAAGCAATCCCTTCAAAATAATGGTAATTCTTACGTTCGGTATCATGCCTTTCGCGTCAGGAGGACCTCTCAAAGCACTTCACTGAATTTCTTGTAAGGATTTATTATAAACTGACTGTATTTTGTAAGTGAATGTGGCAGCCAATGTGTGCACAGCAATGTCCCACAAGCAGCTATGAAATTAATGATCTGGGGGATTGTTAGCCAGAACACTAAGAGAAATTCCCTTTCCTTTTTGAATAATGCCACTTGAATAGGGAGAGATGGGATCTGAGTTTAACATCTCATCCAAAATATGGCACCTCCAACAATACAGTGCTCCCCTTAGCACTACACTGAAGTGACAGCCTAGCCAAGTTAACTTCCAAATGGGGCTTAAACCCTCAATCATTTTTCAATGACCCTGTCTGGAAAGTGAATGTGTGTCGATGGACTAGAATCAGACAAGCTGTGAAGTGCTGTCAGAAGAAATAACACGCTGCTGCTTACTGCTTACTCTCCCTTTTAAAGCCATAAATGACTTTTGAGCTGTATTACCAGATCTTCTTAGATAGGGTTTAGTAAAAACATTTGCCACTACAGTGCATGACTCAGTAGCTCAGGGCACCACGGATACATTAGAATTTAGGAACAGAAGAAGGATATTCAGCTCATTGAACCTATTCTGCCGCACACTATTCCATGGAGCTGCATACAACCACCTAGCTGAATCTCACTTCCCTACCTTTTGCCATATCTTTTAATGTTTGTTTCATGGAAAGCATATAACGAAAGTATAGTATCCAATTCTCAACAAGGAAACTACAGGATTTGGGGATTGAACTCAGTACTATCATTGGGAGACATTTCTCCAAGTATGAATCTATCAGGAATAAACTAACATTCTTCAAAAAATATTATGCTGGATAACCCAAGGCCAAATTAAACCAAAATGCTCCAAAATTGATCAACAGGAAAATTAAAAGGGAGATTAAAAAAAGGTCAAGAAATAAACTAAAGGAACCTAGCGAGAACTGGAAAGGGATCTAACAGTAATACAAAATATAATGTCTAAAAATACTTTTGATATTATGACAGTAAGAGGGTATAACCAGAATAATTGACTATTCAGTGCAGACTGCAAAATCTTTGTGCGTTTCTCTATTTATTCCCTTCTTTCCTTTGGCAGTGAAAACCCAAATGGCTCTTAAACCTAATTTAAACTTTACATAAATGGAACTGATAAAGATACAGCAAAACCACTTTAGAAAGTGTTTCTGGAATTTCTAGTCTTTGGCAAATTAGCATGGCTCAGCTGGTAGCATTCTGGCCTCTTAATCAGCAGTTTGTGGGTTCAAACCCCATGTTGGGACTTTGGCTTGCCTGCCTGTTCAAGTGGATATTAAAGATCCCATGGTCCTACGCACAACGAGCTTGTCCTGGTCAACAGTGCCCCAGATTGTCATTCACTTCAGAGCTGTTTGTGGAAGATTCACTGTTATGTTCATCTGCAAATACATTGTTACATTACTTTACAGTACATTCCATGAAGCGCTTTGAGATGCTTCAATGACGTGATAGGGACTAATTCCAAATGCAAGGATTATTATTTCAGATTTGCAGGTAATTTGTTCTAAAAAATATTCAAAGTACCTGATATTAATTGGAGGTGAATAACTAACAGCTACTAAAATTACAAGATAATTTTCCTCTGAATATTATGGTTGAGGATGGAAACTGCATTAATCATACTTATGACAGTGTGAAAACTAGGCGCAGTTGGATGACTCAACTGTCGTGGGATAAAGAAAATTGAACAGATGTAGGAGGCAATAGAGAAACCATATTGCAGTCACTGCTGAGACTTAGAAATTCACATGTGGCTCATTTGATATCAGTTTCTTCTCTGCATTTGTTTTATTTTTATTCCTTCATCTATCTGATCTTATAATTGTCATTGCTTTTAAAGTTGCTCTCTGACTCCATTACCCAATCTCTTAAGTGCTGCCACATCATCAGTTAGTTAGGTCAGATGTAAGACCACTATATTGTTTTCAGTTTTGAACAAGCTTTGCAAGTCAGTCCATCAGTGAGCCTCCCGAATCATTTTCCCTCCAGACAATTTGCCCTCTTATATACCGTACTGGCATGTTCTGCTTCACTGGCTTTCCTCTACCTCTTTGTTTTCATTGTGAATACTCCCCCATTCTCCGGAGTATTTTTATGCCTACAGACACAACAGCTCACTAATTTTAATGGGCATCACTAATTTTAATGTTATCATTTTTCAAAGAAAACTGAAGGCATTAAACTAAGATATCTCCCTGATGACCTGGTGGGTGAAGGTACTACCATCTGGTGCAGTACAAGGTCATACGTATTGTGTTGTGTCAGCAACTCTCACCTGGGGTGGCAGCTGACACCCTGCAATTGGACTTGGCATCCCTGTTTTCAGAAGTGAGAGTTCCTATTCTTGTTCACTCTCTATATTGGGTGCAGGATTCTTCTCATTTGCCTCCTGTTAACTCTCTAAGCCAAAGCCCCAATGGGTAGGGTGGTCCTAGCTCGACAAACAGTGGGAGAGCTTGCCATATCATGCACTCAATGGCAAGCTGTGTAGTGTTAGCTGGTTAAACTCCAGCAGGAGGCCAATGCACACTCTTGCCAACCTGTGCCTAGTACTCTCTGGAATTATGCAAACAGGGTGCGTACGTCCAAAGATTGAATACCAACTCCAGTCACAGAGAAATTTAGATGTGTAGGTGCTCTATATGGAACTCTGTCTGGCTTGGATACTCCTAGGCATGGTGGTGAGTATCCACATGTGTCAAACCAAATAAAATCACTCTCCAGAGACCCCTGTTGGAAGGTGCATGTTTGAGGATGTCAGCTGAACACTATTGCCCCCAACTCCATCTCACATTCCCACATTTGGAACTCCATCCCACATTTCCTTTGCCCGCTCCCTCACTTGCTTCCTTCAAGGCACATCTTAAGACCCTCCTCATCGTCCTTGCCTTTGTCCACTCTCCTACCCTCCCTGCCCTCCACCCTCACTGATCCCAAGCCCCCTTCACCCCCCTATGCAGGTCCAAATCCCGACAATCCAGCACCTTGGGACATCCTCCCGACGTGAAAGGCGCTATACTAATGTAATTTAGTATTGTATTCTATTGGCTATCATAGTGATTTACCTCAAGGTTCACATATAAAGAATTGTTGCTTGGGCTGAGGTTGCAGAGAGTGCCTAGCATCTGTGGAATAGCAACCACAGTAGTAGGGAAAAACAATAGAAAGGGAAGGGAGAATGTTTGGCAGAAAAATGGAGGAAAACTATCAGAAAATATAATTTTATGTGTGTAAAAAAAATCCAAAACAGAAATCTACCCACATCATCTTCATGTTAAAAATAGCTACATCTCAACAACCTGTCAGCATTGTTAAAGCATTATGGTGTTGGTACTAACTGAGAATATGCTACATCCTTGTGATTTTTTGAAGAAGATATAACAGAAGGCTTACTAAATGCAAACATGTACAACTGTAAAAATAGAGGGCTACAAATCAATTGTGGCTAGATACATTTTCAATGGGTTCAGAGAATCCAGTTCCTTTTGTTCTGTTTCTCCACACCCAAAGCTGCTGTTGGGGCTTAACTCCATGGACACCTGGAGTTCTCCTATACTTGAGCAACTGATCTCACCGTTCACATGTGAGCCATGATAGTGAGTGTCACCAAGTTATTTAACTGTGTGTATGTTGGCGAAGAAGGAGAAAGGAAAAGGGAAATCCCAGGCAATTCTGATTCTGGCCAGGTCTGCTGCACTTTGGATTGGGAGTTAGTGGCCATTTGTAGCTGTTTGTTTTCCTCTCACCATCCCAGTGGCATAAAGATCAAACACATTGACTGTCCAATTCTCCTGACTGTGATCAGCTGACAAAGCTCAGATATAAGATCAAACCTGGCATCTTTCCAGGGTGAAATAACCTGCCAGGAAGTACATTTATCCACTTAGCAAACAGGGGGCTCCTTGAGTATACTTGAAGAGCATAAGGCAGTCAATTACAATGTTGCCTATAACCTCAGATTTGTGAAACTTCTTTAAACTTATTTTCTATTTAAATAATATTCTGTGGTTTTACCTGAAAACAAAATATCTACTCACTTGAGGAAATCGATCCTTCTCATGTCACTCAGTAGTCATTGTGACATAAGGAAATGTGTGTTATTGATCACATTATGACAAGTTCAAGTTAAGGGTCGTTTGACTGTTGTGATGCAATTATATCCTATTTAAATTGCACGGTTATTCATTGTATATTATATAAGTTTTGTTAATCATCTAAATTGCAGCTTATAAGGAAGGTGTCAACTTTTATCAGTTGGTGACATTCTTTCTTTTGGATCATAAAGTCATGGGTCCAGTTTGGGGCTTAATGAGCCATTTATCTAGTGCTTGGTTGTAGGACCTTGCTGTGTGAAAAATAACTGATGTTTTTGTAGCCTATAAAAGTGGCCACAGTACTTAACACCAGTTACTGTCAAGTTCTCTGCAATGTTTTTTTAATCGTGGTAAGTAAGGTGTAAAAATATAAGGAGTTCTTTTTTCAATTTTCTTCATGTGTCAGCCTGGTTCTGTTGGTAGCACTCTTGCCTCTGAGTCAAAAGGTTGTCAGTTCAAATCCCACATTGGGTATTTCGAGTTTTTCTTGGAAGGGGGTGGCAGAGAAGAGTGGGGAGGGATTGGATTAGACTCAAATACTAGGTTGACTGCTGTTTAATCATATTGTACCTGTCTTCACTTTTATACAGAAACCAGTACCAATGGGAATGTCCAGTCAATCCCTCTTAAGTAGGTAAATTAACATTTTATAATTAATGGTGGATAAGTGAGTCAGCAGTGCTTGGACTGACATTCTATTCATGCTCTTATGTGAATGGGTACAAAGAGAGTTAAAGATAAACTTTTCTTGAAAGTTAAATATAAGTCATAAAGATTAGGGTGATATGTTAGGTAGTGACGTCTTCGCATTACAGAAATTCTGACGTCTTTTGGAAGCAGCTAAGGATCATTGATTCTGTTCCTGTTGTCATGGCTGTGACGTAATTGGTAAGTTTAGGCATCCTTATCATTGGTGGCAGTGTGGTTGCTAGGAGAATATTTGTAGCATATTATGCAAAATAGAGAGCTGTTCGATTTCCAATAGGGAACATGTCTTTTACACCATCTTCCTCTATATACTGCAATGAATATGTACCAGGTATCAGCCTGGCTTAGTCAATAGTAGTCTTGCCTCTGAATTATAATAATAATAATCCTTGCATTTGATATAACACCTTATTATGTCTTCGAGATGTCTCAAAGCCCTTCACAGAATATATGTATCAGAAGTTTATGGGTTCAAGCCCCATGGCTTTAAGCTCATGGTCTAGGCTGATATGCCAGTGACATGTTGGGAGAAGCACTACATTGTTGGAGGTGCTGTCCTACAGGTGAAACATCAAACCAACTCTGCCTGTTGAGTTGGACTTTAAAGATTCTATGCCACTATCTGAATAGAGAAAGGAGTTTCTCCTGGTGTCTTGACCAATGATCATTCACTTCATAGTTGTGTGTGGGACACTGTTGTGCGCAAATTTGGTACTACACATTACAGTATGTGTACAGTACACACATACTGTAATGTGCAGTGACTCAAATACCGTCACAACTGATAAGAATAAATCCTGTGAAACACTTTGAGGCATCCTCCTGAGTGTGAAAGGTGCTATATCAAATACAAGCATTATTTATTATAATAATCCTTGCATTTGTAACTGACTCTAAGCAAATTTTAAATATATAATAATTAATAATAATGTATATCATATAAGATAGGGTCCTATGATGAGAACTTACCAAAATGTTTTATGGTACAGATCTAACAAGAATAACAGTTTGCTTTTTTACAATGCCTTTCACATAGGATAATGTCTCAAAGTGCTTTACAGAGACATTGTAGGACAATTAGGGGGTGGATGGAGGAGGTGTTGGAAGGAAGTGATCCACATTATCAAACAATTTGACAAATTAAAAAGATGTGCAAAAATATAACCAAAACTTCATCAATTATATATTACACTAAAACATAGGAATCAGAAAATCATACTGTTTCTTCAGACTGAATGTGTCAATTAAGAATCCCTCCCACCCTCTCCCCCCACTCCCCCATTACCTGATGGTCTCAATGTAATGTTTTTGTTTGCTGCTAAAGTTGATATAGATGCTGCTTACTTGAGCGTGCTAAGCTCCGTTAGGGATGGCTGAGTAGCCTTAAGATAGCTCTCACGACGTGCTGCAATCTTTGGAGAGGGTTTTGGGCTGGTGTCCGAATCCCCACTGTCGTCATCCCCCATTGCTTTAATGTAGCTGCCACTGCGCATTCGGCGACAGGGAATCTCATCATCTTTGCCTCGAGGGGCGTAACCTCCCCAGTCGTCTTGTGGAACCTGATAAAATGCAACAGAATATTCTGATGTATCATTTTTTGGGGGCTAGCGTCTACAAAATACTGAACAATTGGAGCGATAATTGACCATATAAATCACGTTGATGAAATAATTATTCATAAAATGGATGAATCAGTCTTTAAAAGTATGAGTAGGCTTTGGCCTATTCAAATTGTAACTTATATTGTAACAGAGGTGCTTATCAATGCTGCTGGCTGAAATAATCACTCTTCGCTTACAGTTTTGACAGTGATTTAATAAGGTAATAATGGTGGATCAGTGGTACGCCCAGGCAATAAATCATTTCACAGCACCCACAGGCTTATTTCCACTTTGCTTTGGGGATTCCTATGCATTTAGAGAATTCACCTTTTCAGAAATGTAGCTTTCACAACTACACAGTTTCCTTGGCATGTAACTCACGTAATTCTTATCGGTATTGGACAGCAAAACCTGTGAAAACAGAGTTCTCTTTTTTTCATACAGTTCCTAATTGTATTTCCCCCCTCCTCTCCACGAGCACTGATTCATGCTGAGCTATAGATACACAGTTGCTGGTGGCCCTGTGGTGCCAATGATTCATCTGTAAGCCACTGTTATTCAATAATTGCATGGAAACCGTTGAGCAATGAGCAAATCACAGTGCTCCGGGACGCTACATGCGTGAAGGGCACTATATAAATGCAAGTTGTTGCTCTTGTGTTGTTGACTTTGTATCTCTGCTCACTTGTTGCTTAAATGTGGTGCATTTAACAACTGGGGACATTGATAGCGATCAGCAGCAGGAAGACGATAAGAGAAACAGAAAGCTGAGCCACATTGCCAAATCAATTGAGTTCAGAACACCAGACATCATAATGTACTGTATGCTGTACAGGACAGGCAATTACTGTCTGCCATATTCTGGGTCTGGCCTGACCCTCATAGCATATAGTACAACAACATAAGGGGGCGCCCCAGACCTCAGAAGAAATGCAGAGGAGAGCAACAAGGATGATCCCCAATGAGCCATGAGTAATGATTTGACAAGCTAGGGCTCTTCTGTCTTGAAAGTAGATATCTCAGAGAGAATCTCATATAAAATTTGAAGTGGGATTTTAAAACTAAACCCAGAGCAATACTTAGACAAGAACATTACCTTAAAATTTAAGGTTTCGCATAATTTTGGAAAATTCCTGCAGTAATCTGCACAATCTTAAAATAAATGCCTTAATTCACTTTTAATTTAGAAGCCAGTAAACTGCAAGACACAACAAGAACTGTGATAAATCAGCTATGAAAATGTATTATTGCTTAGTTTAAGAATTTTTCAAAATTCTCTCTGATTTTAAACAATAGGCAATGGTTTTAAGACTTAGACCATAAGACAGTTAAGGACCCAGAAAAGTTCCAGTTCTGAGGCTTGCTCAACTGTTTTCCTGGTCTATGTGTCACAGTATCTCACCAATAATTGGGATAACATTCTACCTGGGTCTAGATTAACCTTATTTGTGTAGCATTTCAGAGGGTCCAGAATTTGGCAAAGTGTAGAACTAAGTCTTAACTTTGAAGCCCAGTCTTCCGTAGTTCTTAAAAGAAAGTTTTAAAAACCTGCCTGCACAATCAAGACTGTAGTTAAGAATTTGCTAAATTCTGGATACTGTGAATTAATAGAGTAAATCTAGACCTATGTAGAATTTTACCTTTAGTTTGTTTACCTTCTGATGAGTTAGAGCCTCACTTCCTAAAATATTTAAGAAAAAGAGAGGTTTCAGAAGTGACAGATGGATTGATATTTGCATATATACTTGATAGAAGTACCTATCTGTTCCTGAGAAAAATGGAAAAAGTGTAATTTAATCACCAGTTAATATTGATAAAAATGCAATATATTTCCGAAAGCTAATCTCTAACACATTTATTAGGATAAAGAGAAACAGAGATTTACTCACCTGCTAAGGGCTAATAAATATGCCACAACTATGACCCACATATATTCTGCTCCGAAATCCAAGCAAAATGCCTTAATATCATCTGCTAGGGAAACATTTGTGCTGAATGCTTTCTATATTTCAGTTTATCCATTAACATCAAGGCTACACCTGAATGCAATGTTTCTTTCCCCAAAGTGCGTATGATTAGGCCTCAATTTCACTCCGTGGTTAATAAGTCAAGCTGCTTTAAAAATAAGAGTAAAATAAATTGGATGTCTTACAATAGAATTGAACAGCAATAAAACAGAGGGCAATGAGGATATAATACACAATATATTGCACTGCCACCTTGCATTACATTTCAAAGGTGCATGGGGATTTTTTTAAATCTCAAGACAACCAATCTTATAACACATCTGATCACAGATTACCCCATAATTTAAATGAATCACGGGAAAAGTTGACAGTATTAATACAAGAGCAAGCTGTTAGCTTTGCCTTTCAACTCCATTGATCCAATGGCCCCATCCACATTATTTGTTTCCTTCTTTCCAATGCAGTGATTCATTCTGGGATATCCAGAAGTTACATTCAAGCTGTTCTGTGTTCTGGTCAGGCTGCACCTTGAGTACGTGTACATAAGGGGATGCCCAAGCCTTAAAGATAGTGCAGAGAAGAAGAATGAGGATGATTCCCAATGTTACATGAATGAGCTATGAGCAACCATTAAGACAAACCAGAGCTCTTTAGTTTTGAAAGAAGATATCTCAGAGGCGACCTTATAGCGGTATACACACTTTGAAATAGGATTGACAAAATAAACAGAACAATACTTATGGATGTGCTAAGGCAGTAGAATAAGAAGACACAGGTATAGGGTTGCAAAAGGCAATTTCAGAACAGACACCAGGAATTTTTTTTTTACGCAGAGAATAATTAATGACAAACAAGTTATCAGAAAGGATGGTTGAGGCCAGGTACTGGACTCATTTAAAAATAGTTTGGTTCTGTGTTGGGAGGGTTGGTATTCTGGAAGGATGAGAAGGACAAAGGGCTTTCTTCATCCAAACAAATCTTGTTCTTTATCACTTCTAATACCTCGTCCAAATGGCAATTCTTTGTTTATCCTCTGTTTACAAAATTACCCCAAATACTCCAGCCTCTTAATGTAGCCCCAAGATCAGGCCAAAAATATAAAAAACACAAGCCCATTATCACACCCCTCAAGCAGCCAAAGTCAGAACCATCTCAATCCAATCTCATTGGTGCTTTGACCATCAATTCCAGGGAAAATTGGTTATTCACTTCATGGCTGTTTGCGGGCCGTTTGTGTAACTGGACATTAGACGCCTTATCCATCTGCAAACCACATAGTCACTATACTTTACACTAAATTAGGTGAAGCCCTTTGAGACTTCTCACCGACAAAATAAGACACTGTATCGAATGCAAGGATTATTATTATTATATATTGTGCCAGATCGACATCCATAACCAAGCATATTCAAAACTGCACTTGTTCTTTGCCAAAAAGTCATTTGTTATTGATAATTAATAACTGATAAATACTTCCTTTGATACCCAAACATGTTTTGTGTGTGGGTGGGTGGAGTCACAGAAAACCATCATGGACATAAAAAAAACTCTGATCTTCCGATCTAATTTAAACCAACTTTCCTTGCTCCCACGCCGTTTCATATCGTTCTTTTTCAAGCAACTATCTAATTCCCTTTTTAAAGTAACTTATGGAGTGCATCAACAATGGAACTACATTAGGGTCTGATTATGTAAGAGACACTAATGAAAACATTGGTTTAAAATGCAGTTTTAGCTCTCACTGTGGGCTTGAAACTGACAGAATTGTAACTGATGTTGGTGATTGAAGAGGAATATTCTTTCAGAGTGTCTGTGTATTCAGAAATCCTCTTTATTTTCATAGCGTTCAGCTTTAAACTATTTTTAATTGTTTGTAAAAATGGTTTTGTCAATGGCAAAAATGACTAGTGGCAAATATCACAGGATAATAGCTTTGTATGGAAATGTAGCCTGAGTGATGTGCATAATTTAAGGACTGTCTATATTCATATGTCTGGAGGCAACCATCTGAATTTTAAACAATGTTAGTTTCTATTTGCTACATCAATATATTTTAAGTAGGAAGCTACTGACTCATGTTTGGGTTATGGTTCCTAGGATACATTCTACCCTCTATCATATATCCCAACCGCCAGGTGCTGACTGTCCAGCACCTTGGGACGTCCTCCTGACGTGAAAGGCGCTATACAAATGTAAATTGGTGTTGTTGTTTCTCCTTCAGGATGTTGAACCCAATCCTAGTACCTTCACTTGTAAGTTACCTGGCTGAGATCTGCTATTTCAGTACAGATTGTTCAGTAGTGTGTGAGGCTCAGGTGCCATAGTCCCCTACTGATCTATTTTAGAATTTAAATGTCTGTTTTGTGATGTATGCCTGAAGACTTTTCTCTTCGGCTGTGCTTACGGGCACCTTCCCCCCTCCCCCGGCTCCGATTCAGGCTCCGCCACTGTTAAGCGCTCTGAGATGCTACCCTGGGTGAAGAGTGTTATATACGTTTAAGTTGTTGCTGTATATTAAAGCCTATCTCAAATGTGTGGAGAAAAAATAATGAAAGCAAAATTCATAATCCCTATGACATGATAATGACAAATTAGATTGAAATGAACCTGTAAATATAGCGAGGTATGAACTGAGCCCCTTTGCTGTCTTCTTTTTTGTTAAATCACAATAATTGCTCCATGTCACAGCAGCTTTCATGTGACATCTACAGCCAATTCCTGTGTTTAAAGAGGAAGTGCACACTCCCAAATGGGCCCATTGAATTAAATGTTAAAGTGGAAGTGCATGCTACTGAGTTTCCCAATGAACCAAATGTTAAAGGGGAAGTGCAATTCTTGAGTCAAAATTGTGGAAACCGATCCTGTCTTCATCTGTGGTCCGCACACATGTGCAGGATCAAGAGTAGGACTGACTTTTTTCCTCTATAGACCAAGAGCAACAATAAAAACTTGCATTTATATAGCACCATTCACACAGGGATGCGTTTCAGA